GTAACGAGCATACATTTCCCAGCCGTGGTACACGCAGCGCACGGGACACACTGAATCGGTAATAGCAATGTGTTTGCATAATCAATCATGCTCTTTCACCTGTTTCTTCCTCCCCTAGCCTCGTTACGATGCCATGTTTTCGAGATGGAGAAGATCAAGGGTGGATAAGATTATCCTTTCAGCCGAACACACGTCTTCGTTCCGCTTGTTTACCTTGTTAAAGGTCCTTGATATTCGACGTTACCGGATTTGTTTCAACGAAAATGTTGCTTAGAGACTACGTGACTCCTCGTATCTCGTGTAGGAAGAACAGTATACCGGATATGTTACTGATTTCAACACAAGTTTCTCTCGTTTGAAAGAAACTCGATGGTATTTTACGTTCGATCCATTAACAAGACCGTCCGATAAAATTTCTACGTATATTATTTTCGCGTGCTTGGGAATATGAATTACTCGATGACGGTGTACTTTTCTTTTTTTTTTAAACTGCGACGGTCCACTCGACACGCGTCCGCATAGGTGCACCGCACCCTCGTGGTCCCTCGAGGGTAATAGTATGCAAATGAATATACCGCAAACAGTATGCAAATAAATACGGTAAGCTAAATATGGAGACGTCTGTCTCCCTTTCTTCTTCCAGTCTTCTACCCCCTTTTTTCCACGTCGCGTCAGAATAAGTTAATACGTCTGCGTAAACGCGACGGAAACGCCTCTCGAGGTTTCAGGTACCACGAGGGGCGGTAGGAATTTTCTCGCGTTTTACAGTACAGTGAACAGTTCTACGGGAGGTTAGTTTCGGCTTGTAAAAATCCCGGCTGCGACGGACGTACCGAGTACTTTATTTTTTTTCTTTTTTTTTTTTTACCTTAGAACCGCACACGTACTGGGACTGTGACTTATAATCCTCAAGTACGCTCCACACCTGTGGAGAGTCTGCGCACATTCGGCGTCTACGTTTCTGTTTACCCACTACTAACAATTTAAATACATACACATATATTAATAAATGTTTTTTCTACTTATTAAATCAAAGAGTCTCCGACACGACATTTTTCATGCTACAATTAAATATTTAACACCCGCGATATGCACTGCGTTTCTTCAGATTTTATTCACTTTACACGTTCCCAAACAAAGTGGGGTAACGCGTAACGCGTGTCTACGGGAGTTTTCGATAAAGGTAATGTTATGGTTCCAGTGGCGATTATCTTGTCAAAAGCGTAAACTATTATATTTTCATCATTAAATACCATGCGTGGTTTATACGCGAGCCCGACTTTCACGAGCCTTGGGAAGTCAGTACGATCCATTATCGTTCTAGCCGCTGTTTCCAAGCGCACCGGATTCCACCGGGGGAGTTCTGCTCTGCACTTTCGTGGCTGCTTCACAATACCTACAATCAGTTTCTTCCGTTTAGCACCGTAATTGCGCTATTATTACGAGTGCCGTGATTCGTCGCGACGATTCCTATTTTTTCAGCCCTTTTATGCAGCTGCGAACTCTTTTTCTAGATGCTCATCGGACGCGTGTATCCTCAGGATTGAAAAATGTCCTCGCGAATCGGTGGTGTTGGTTTTTACGCGACAACACGCCCAGAGTTGCTACGTATCTTGACGATGTGAACTCTAATTAAAATAAATACGAGTTTCCACGTGGAAAGTATTGCGGATGACTTTAGTTTCTTGAATAGTGAGCACGAAGTAAAAACCGATGAAATGAAATGAAAATACGATGTCGGTAGAAAGGATAACATTTCGAAAGAAAGTTACAAGAGAGCGAATCGAAAACATCCGAGACCGTGTACGTTTTGCGCGAAGGATTTAATAGTTTCGGAATATTAGTCGATTCTTGATACTATTTTCCATTATCTTACACAGCCACGAGCAATTACGTTTTGATTAAAGCGTTGTTTCTTCGTTTAATGGAATTTCTATACTTTCGAGCTTGCAAAGAAAATTGCATGCTCTTTTGACCATTTGTTCAAAATAACCAGGTTTTCCCTGTTAATTTCGCTTCTATAAAAGTAATAATTCAGAATGTAATTTCGTTTTATAAAAATATCTCAGTTTAATTTGTTCGTTTAATATCGCTGAAAAGTTCACGTAAAATTTTCACGAAATTATTGTTTAAATTACCTCCTCTTTTTTCATACTGATAAATGTAGAATCCACCGGGACAGTAGGTCTAATGAAGTTTTACCGTGCAACGAAAAAACACTATTTACATAGTAGAACTTCATTAAACTTGTCGGGCCCCCTGTGGGTTTATACGCCTTCTGTTTTATTGTTTCCATTCTCTGAAACACAATTGTATAAAAGTCATCTCGGACTTGGTTGTATATCATCTACCGAAATGTGATATTTTTATCACCAGCGTCACTTAACTTGCAAAACGTGGTCCGTATTCGTTTCATTTATTCACAATGAATCCCTTGGGATATACATACATACATGATATTTATCTCGATATTAAACAATTCAGAATATTTAATTTTTATAGATCTATCTGAAGCTTTAGTTCAAAATTAATTGATAGACAAAGTTACACGATACATCGCATGCTCCGAAGTCTTACATAAAATTCGCGTTATCGATTCTATTAGGCTTCGTTAAAAAGTTATTAAAAAATTAAATTAAAAAATTTCAAATCCTCCAGGATAAAATTATTTTCGGTTGCGGGGGCAAATTACAATCATTTTTGGTCAATACATATACCCACGAAATCCTACGCACTTTCGAGAAAAAAATTCCTAATCGAAAATGTAATTTATGGCCAGAAATGTTGTCCGAAAATTTCATGCGGATCTTTAAAATGTCATAACTTCTGAACGGATTGAAGGATTTTAATTTTCAAAAATGCAAACGACGCGTATTTTAATCAAGAATACGTAGAAATCGCAAAAATATGCAAAAAGTTGATCCTTGATCCCGCAAAATGAGTAAAACCCCATAAAAATGGTCCAATATTCAAACAGCCATAATTCCTACAATAGTGAATATATTTCAATGAAACTTTTTTCTGAAGTAGAGCTCATAGGTACCTACAAAAAAGTATTGGCCAACTTTTTTGTAGGGCGTCAAACAAAATTATTAAAAAAGAAAAACGAATTTTTAAGAAAAATCGACAGGGGGTAGGTGCCTAAATTTTTCAGCGAAAAAAAAAATTTCAAATCGTTCTAAAAAAATTATTTTCAGTTGCGGGAGTCAATTTCAATCATTTTTGGTCAATATATATACCCCCGAAATCCTACGCACTTTTGAGAAAAAAATTCGAGAATGTGTGAAATTTATCAACAAAATTAAAAAATTTCAAACCATTCTGAAAAAATTATTTTCGGTTGCAGGGGTCGATTACAATCATTTTTGGTCATTACACATTCCCCCGAAATCTTGGGCATTTCGGAGAAAAAAATTCAGTACGGGCGGAACTTTAAACGTTAATAATTTCTTAACGAAGCCTCCATCAACAAATTGGTATTCTTGTATTTTTCCCGATTTTGTCCTCTAGAAGTAGTGCAAGCCTACAGTGCTTCATTAAAATCAAAGTTAGAACGGCTACTATCATAATGGATGTGCGCGCAAGATGTAAATCATCAAAATCTGCAAAACTGTAGGAGGCAATTTTAAAAAATCGCATACCAATGGATTTGGAATAAAATGCTCGTCATTTTTTGTCATTATGAAAATTTCAATAAAATGAAAAATTAAGTTAATAAATTTTTTTTTGTTATAAACAAATTGTATTTTTTTAAATTTTTTAACACCATGTTATTGTACATAAGAAACCATCAACCTCGCCCATTAACAATTTTTTTGTATGTCTTTCCGTTTTCGAGATAGCCGTTTCGAGGCAAAACTTCAAGGGGTGGTTTCACCCCTTAAACTCGAGTTACCGCAGCTAAAAAAAAATACGTGTCGATTATTTTTGGCTGCTTTATAAGTGTACAAAGTTTCATCAAAATCGAAACCGGACCGTTCGCGATGGTTTCTTGTGAGACGGATGTCGTCGGGGGGTCGTGTTACCGGAATTATGATCAACCGTACTCTATGCGCGACCTTAATGCGTTCGATGCTTTTTCCCCGTAAGTCGGTCAAGACTTTTCAGATACATCTCCATTCGAGTTTCAAGTTTCGTCGCGGTATCCAGTATCGTGAAACGATGTGTCGTAGAAGAAGTATTACTTATATCATGGAGAGAATTTAAACGATCGAACGATTTTTCAAACAATATTATTTTACTAATAATATTCAAAAAAAACAATGAATGTTTTACACACTTGGAGATAAATTTGGTAGATGTGTTTATTCTCGGGTGTATTTACGTTCAAGTTGGTTTTTAGTGGGGAGCAAAGAAAAGTTTGATAATTGTAAAGGTGGTGCAACAAACATCGTGATGCATCACGTTAGACTTTAACGTCTCCTAACAGTTCACCAGAGTTTGGTGTTTCATTTTTGCATTGCCGTTGGCAGCAAGAAACTGACGACGTGGTAATTAGGGCGATAAAACAGGCAACCAGCTCTGTTTTAGACAGACCTAATACGCCGTTGCCGAGGACTTGGTTTCTTATCGTAAAACTTGTTTACGCGATGTTTTACACCGAAATAGCGGTGGTGTATGATTTTTACTAGCAGAACTCTGATGCAAAGTTCGAAAGTTATAATGGTAGCCGTGTTTCGTTGGTCGTTTAATGTCTCGAAACGTTCTCTTTTCTTCTTTAGTCTTTCAAGCGTTGGTTCTTATATTTCATTCTGATATACCAAGCCATTGATTAATCAAATTGATTATTAAGATTTGCAAAAACATGGTTTACGATTCCCAAGTTATAGTAGATAATAATAAAAGAAAGTCTGAGTTTTAACATATACAGATTAAATTCGTACATGGTATATTACAACGAGTTGTGGACGAGTTAATTTCACGTATTTTTCACGGAAACTGCGTTTAAATGATTTGAAAGAGCTTACTAAAGATACGAATTGCCTGATTTTGGTTTGTAGTTGGGATGCCGACCATGGAACCTCAGTTTGACCAGCGTGGTTATCCTGGCGCTTTCGAATATGCTGCTGACCTTCTTGTTGCTGCAGTCGGAAACCTGTATTCCGGACGACGTACCCAGAGATTTGGAAGCTATAAACGTCATAACCGAGTGGAACCTCGGTACGTTGATCAAAGAGCAGCAGCAGCAGCAGCAGCAGCAGCAGCAGCAGCAGTCGGAGTGCGTTACACAAGATTATCAACCAGTGGCAGTTGACGCGAGTAACCTGAAGCTGAACATAAAACTGGGCAGATGGGACGCCCGTAGATTGTTCCGTACCTTCGACCACGTTTTGGTCGGCAGCAGTTTCACCGAGCTGTCGCAGGCGTATCGCGTATGCTTGGCCACGCAAAGCTCGGTGGAAAAGTTACACTCGGTGGTCCAAGCCGCTCATCATTGGACAGGACCTATGTCGGTGGCCCTGTACGTGGCCGGCGACGAAGAGTTCGAAGTTGTTCAGAAGTACCTGGTCTATCTTAGGAGATGCTACGAACCGATCAGAGAGAGGATCGCGTTCTCGTTGGCCGTGCCAAGGGTCAGACCGCCGAAGAAGCAGCCGCGCGACTTCGAGCTGCCTCAGGCGGTGGATTGTGCCAAACCGGAAGCAACGTTGAACGAACTGATGAACGGGATATCCAACGAGCAGACCAACTGGCGGATACGCAACGTTTATCCCCAGAACCATATGAGGAATCTAGCCAGGAAGAACTGCCAGTCCGATTACGTGTTCTTGACGGACGTCGACATTGTGCCCAGCTTTAACCTGACCGGCGCTCTCGACGAATTCCTCAGGACCGATAACTGTGATAAGTGCGCCTACGTGATACCGACGTACGAGCTAGACTCGCGCGTCAGATTTCCTCAGAACAAAACGGAGCTGGTCAGATTGGCAAGGAAGGGGCTAGCTAGGCCTTTTCATCAAAAGGTCTTCATTCATAATCAGTTCGCCACGAATTTTACCAGGTAAGGGTCCTTTGCTATTATTATACATATAGTTTAATAAGGGGGTTCTACTTTGTTATTTTCTAAACGTACACGCATAGTACCCTGATTTTAATGGCTAAACTTTGCCAATATCTGACAAAGACTCAATCAGGAAGAACAGTTACAGGGAAGAGAACAATATACTGACAACGTTTAGTCGTTAAAACCTGAGTCACTCTGTATACAAAGATGTATAATTTACATTTACCCCTTCCCGTACTTTAACGAGTCTAATTTGGCCCAATCCAGAATTGGATGTGCTTTATTTATTATTAAAAATTGGAGCGTTACTTTTCGACACTTTATAGTTTTTCATAAAAGTTCATTATGGAATCGAATAATAATTTTAGTATTTTTGCGTTTGGTTTCTAGGTGGACACTGGACGCTACTCCAAACCATAGATATTTTGGAAACGTGAAGAATGGTAAGGTCTACGTTAGTCACGACGTGACGAATTTCGAATTCCTTTACGAACCTTTTTACGTCGCGAGAGATATCGTTCCTCCTCACGACGAGAGGTTCATGGGCTACGGGTACACCAGGAACACCCAGGTAGATACACATGAATTCATCTTTCAAGCGGTTAACTCTTTGCAGCACAAGGATCGATGTAGTTTTAGAAACTCTGGTGCACAAGGAGGGTAAATAGAACAATTTTATGAAAAATATAGTCTGTACAGGGATAACCGTCCCTTAAAGTAGGATCTGGTAAAAAATTTCTCATGATACGAACACCCTACTACTCGAGGTTCTTGGTGAATTCTTGATCGTTAAACGCCTGATTTCGTTTCCACCGATTGTTGAAGAATTTCTTAATCCTTTCATTCGCAGCAGTCACTGTCATCGTGTTCATTTCGGTGGGCAGAAAGTGGCGCGGAACAGGTTATTTTAATTGCTCGTCCCCATTTTTTTCCTTCGCGCTGCTAGGAACGTACGAACAAACGAGAGTTGGCGAACGAACGCGATATTAGAACGCGGCGAAATGAAACAATGTATGTTTGCACGGTACATAGAAAACATCGCCGGGGATTGTATGCGCGCGTGTCGGTGGGAATCGGATGTGTACCGGGAGGTATCGAATGGGAGCGCGGGAGGAGGAGGCGGTAGTTTGGGAGTAGGAAACTCGAACGGGCAAATCCCGTGTCAGCCAGGTACATTAATTGAATTACATATTATCATTGCCGCCGTTATCGTACGATGGAGGCTCGTTTTACAAAACAAGCATTATTCAATTTAAACTTGATACGTCTCGCGTCGTCTAATCGAACGTTTGCATATCGAGGACGCTCGATGCCTCGTTCCCGTACACGCGTAAAGTGTAATTCGTGTTTCAAACTGTACTTTCCAAGCCCGTTAACAATTTACGATTAACGTTACGACGCGTGGGCTAAACGTCAGACTAACCCAAGGGCTTTTCTGTCGCGTGAAAACGCGCTGAATTAGAATATGGGTTAAATTTTTAACAGAAATGTAACTGTCGATCGACGGTGTCAGACGTTGCGACCGCAGCCAAACGCAATCCTGGCGGTAACGTTTCTTTCTCTTGGTATATCGAGAAAAAGAATAGTACCAAGAAGTAGAGAGATAAATTAGTATCGATGTGTTATTCCCGTTGTTGAAATAATGTAGCGTTAGAGAGCGATAGACGATGGGACGGTGGCACAGTTTGGTGTCGGTGGTACGCGCGCTTAACCGCGACGAGCGGATAAAGCAGAGTGACGGCCGTGCAGGGAGACGCGCGTTGCACGGATAATGCATCCAGAGCTTTCCAATGACGGTGACGCTCGCGGAACGACCCCGTTCGTGGCTTCCTAGTGGAAATAACGAAATTCCATCGTGCGGCGAAAATCCGCGCGCTACGTACCTTTGCCCGTATTCGTAAAACGAAGTATGCCGCAGCGACGGCAATAAAACGGGCGTAAATCAACGCGGGCCGCGTAGCACGCGGTAACAGCGGTGCAAAACAGGCGTGCAGTCTCCGTGTACAGAGGCGCGAATGTAAGCCGGTGTACGGTTGCGAGCGTAACATGCTCCCCCGTCCGTCTCGTGCTTACGTACCGGTGCATTGGTATTCGCGTCTTCTCTGCGGTTCGTTCTCACAACATCCACTCCCCACGGAGGAATGAGAATGGATATCGTTCGCTTTCCGTACCCTCTACTTGTATCTCGTTGTACTCGAGGCCACCCTCTGCCTCGACGGTCTGTCCCTCGTCTTCTCGATCCAATACGATCCTGTCGCGCCCTTCTTTCCTTCCAGCGACGCGCCACGACCTTCCTGCTCCTCCGTTTACCCCGTTTTACCTTCCATTCAGCTCAGTATTTTAGTTTTATTCGCTTTAGTTTCAATTTTTAATTTAAAAAAAAAAGAAACTGCAAATACAATTTGAATCGAGCTCGTCGCTATACTCACAATTAATTTATCGAACAGCTTCGATGCACCATCGTCCGAATGATTTCGACCCAGTTCTCTGTCGATGACTCTTTAACGATTTGGCCAATCATATTTTTTAATTGGCCAGCGATTCAAAGAGGCAATTGTTTTCGATATCCACGGCTCCTCTCTTCCCCGACGCGTTATATTCTATCGTTCCGCGAACGAGGTGATTGATTCGCTATCGTGATTCGATTCCATAGATAAACGCGCCCTCGAGAGATTCATTATTGTCGTATTTATCGATCTCTGCAATCAGCGTCACGAACAAATTGGATTGATATCTAATCGCGGAGCGGGCGCATCGGATTGATTGTAGTTCCTCCGCCTGGAAGTGTACATTCCTGACGAGGCGGCCGGGATCCTCTAACCCAGACCTATCATTTTCATTTAGCCGGTTCTCGATATCGTAATACCGTGGTCCTTGACAATCCTTAACAGTCCTTTGATTCAAGATCTTTGAATCGCAGCGATAATGCTATCCGCGAAAAGAAAGAGGAAAACGTGACGATTGGAGAAATGAAACGCTCGTATCGGGATATAGACGAACAATAAGAACGGAAGAACGCGTCGAGGAAACAGCCGAAGAGTGGCTCTTGGAAATATTACGCTCGCAACAAGCAAACCGATTTCACAATGAATTTTTGAAACTACTCGTTGTCAATATTGACCTTTCGACGTTCATTTCGTAGATTGACTTTCGATCGGTCGTGAAATTGATTCCAGTGGGGGGAACGGGATCGCCGCGAGTGCCGGGTACACGCGAGCGCATCCTGGATGGCCAACCGGATGCGCCCAGGTGGCTCGAATCAAACGGAAAGAAGATAGCGTCGATTCACCTGGGTGGCTCGTCTTCGTCGATTGAGCGATTATCGCGGCACGAAGTCGTGAATCAGAAACGGCGCAGCGGGCTGGCCCGGTCGGTCTCAATGGCGCGATTCGATTAGCAGAGTTCATTGAAAGCGAACGAAGCACGAAGCTATTTCTACGGAACGTGCCCCCCGTCCAGCGACGAATGCGAATTAAATTTCGTCGAAAAGATTAACGGGCGCTATTAAAAGTTTACCGTGCTCGTTTCACCCGTTGCTTCGTCGCTCGGTTCGAGACGAAGGGTTCCTCATTATTCCCGATATTTCTTTCTTTCGCTCCGTTTCCGTCGCTCGTTGCCCGGATAAAATTGCTCATTAATTGCGCTCGCTGGTATCGATATGTTGTAATTAGCCGATATAAATGTCATTTCCTCCATTTCACTTTACCAACCGCAACAATTTCGGAGTCTATCGATTTAACGTTGCATGTTTTCGGTTGACTAGCTCGTGAATGGTCAGTATTATCATTCTTTTAATAAATTTAACTACCCTCTCGGCGAAACGTTCGCTACCGCTATCGTTTAACGGGTAGTAATTTAGGCGGCTCTGCTGGTCTTATGTTACGTTAAAAGAGTTTACCCACGTAAATCCAGGCATTAAAATCTCACCGTGATATCGATCGACGGGCAATTTCGAAAAGGAGTGGTTTCGCGATTCGCCAACCGTAATCGTTCGACAATCTTTGCACGTCTTTGCTCCCACCGCGCCAGATGCCGGAAATTGTAAGATAAGTGGAGACGCGTTACGGTACGCCTTATTCGCGAGGATTTATACAGACGTGCGATCGCATAAAGCTCAATTATCAGATTTGCCCGGCGGTTTTCGTTCGCCGGGCTCGTTTTATTCGCCGTCTGGAAAAATTATGCGACGCCTGTTTACCGAACTTCACCCGGGTCCCGTGAATGCCTCGTCACGTATGGCCCTAATGCGTGGATATTCTTCCTATCTTCGTCAGCGAATTTTCGTATTGAAAGGGCCGCGTGATTTTCAAAAAGTGGAAGAGCAGTTTCGTGCGCGTGATTGAGAATCAAGTAGAAGATTAGTAGAATGAAATCGTATTTCCCTTGGTTCGTTCCGGATCGAAATTGCGGAATCGTTCGGTCGGTTCTTTTTCCGCGAAACGTTATTTCTGGAATTGCGGTTGGGAAAAATAAACGACAAATTCCATGTACACAGGGAACAAGTTCAAAGTAAACTGTGAAATTATTATTATTATTACGTTCTATAAATTGTCAATTATGGATAAGGTTTACAAAAACATGAGGGCTCGTAGGAAGGAGGAGACTTTTTTTACAAATTCATTGTAAAACGAATCGTGAAAAAAAATTTCCAATTCGTGACATTTCGTACAAGACGAACAATCTTTAATTTTGTACTCTGCTTGTTGGAATAAAGGTTATAGAAGTAGAGGCTTTCGCGTTTAAAATAACTCCGGTGAAAAGTGATTGTTCGCACACGACGTCTTTACGCGTGGATAATGTCTTTGTCCCCTCGTTAAATTTAATCACCGAAACTCTCTAGGAACATTGACGATCGAATAAAATGTACTAGTAGGCAGCGTGGCGTATAATGATCGTAATGGCCAGCGGTAGCGATGGTAGCCTCCCGTCGATGCCGAACCGTGAAATTAACTCCAACACATTTCCCTAAGGTACACGCGACATAAACCGACCCTCTCTGCGATGTCCAGTCCTACAATTTCCCTTGCACTTTGTCCTCGATGGGCATGACCGCCGTAAAATTCTGACATCTCGTCAAAGATCGGCCAACCATCCAATCTAAACTCGATTTTTTCCCTCCGAGAAGAACACCTCGATCCGGCTGTTTCTTACGTTTCCTTAGCGTAATATCGATTGCTTTTCCAGTTATCTTATAAACGGTCATTTGGTTCCTTGTAAGGACTAATAAAAGTAGACCAAGTTCGAATATTTCTTGTTTTCTATGTTCAGGTATGTACTTTTACGCTTCGTAACAAAGACTTTAGTCGAATAAAAACGTAATTAAACTCTGTGAAAGTTTAATATTTTTGCAAGATTAATACCGAGAATCACCTGTTATCCGTAGTATGCATTTTCAGCGTAATCGAATTCTTCGAATAAGAATATTTCTCGACAGTTAACAACAAACTAAGTAGCAATATTATCTAAATTACGAAAGAAATTAGCGGGAAATTAAATACCCGTTGCAGCTTGTTTCGCGGAATGCTTTCCTTTCCTTGCCGGGGGAATCAACGGCTTTGTTTGTTGCGAAATGAATTTCCAAGAAAATTCGAGGCAACGAAAGGTAGCGAGTTTCTAATTCTTGAGGGCGGAGCTTAGCAACGCGAAATTCCTTCCTTCTGTTATCCAGCTTTCCCTTTAGACCAGAAATAATTTCACAGCGTTTCGCTTGATAACCTTTCGCGCGCTTACACACGTTCACGCGTTAGTACCTATAAATAAATAGAATAGTTCGTGTTCTGTTTGCGCCGGTGTATGTGTAAACGTGTACAAAGGTTAATGATTAGCGGGAACACAGACTGACCACGGCGAGTACACACGTCGCAACGTTTTGAATTCCTGAATTCGTAGCGTAGAAACCGGGAGGAACAAGCAAAACCGAATGGGGTATGCACGCCGCGCGAAAGAACGATTCTCCCCGGCTACGTCTACAGAAATTGCGTAAATTTACATTAATACATCGCACGGATATCGTTTGTGCGGACTCCGGGAGCGGAATAGGGACCGTGGTTGCGTTAAATTCCCTGGATGATTCCGTTTGCTTTGGAAAACTTTACAGCGGTTGCTGGCTGCAATTTCGGATGTTCTGAGCTTTGTTCGCCGCGTTACATCATCGCGGGAATATAAATTGCTTGTTTGTTCCGCGGTAGAAAAATTCTCCCGTGCAACGTGTTCAGGAGTTGCACGTGAGATTCCTTGACACCGAATTCGAAACCGGAAGTCGGTTCAAGTTTGGCAAAACGACTTGGGTTTATCAAACGGACGTGACTTACTTTGCTATTTTTTTTTAAAGTTACGAGTTGTGGATTTAGGAATAATACCAACACGTCGAGGGTGATCCCCGATCAGAAACTTGAACATATTCTTTTTTAATTCTTCTTTGATAACTGATAACTTTGCATAAATTTTGTACGAGGTTGTTTCCTATTTTTAAGTAGAAGGTCCCGCGACAAAGTTCTCGAACTGCTCCTAAAACTCGCTTTCTAATGACTTAAGAGTACAGTATACAATATTCTATGTGTCTCTCTAAGCGCCCCGAACAAGCCAGCTTTATCGAGCTGGTTATTAGCCTAAATTATATGCATTGTCATAGTTTCAAGATAGAACAGAGAATAAAGTTCCGTTTCAAACTGGAGAAAATAGCCACAGAAACTTTGGAAACGGTGAAAAGTGTATATGGAGATGAAACATTGTCGCGGAACACGTTATGGAGCGGCGTTTGAAAAGAATTCATAGAACGGGACCACAGGGCAGAGAAAAGACAAGTTGAAGTCTGACAACTCGTGACAACGTCTCTGCTCGCAAGGGGTTCCCCGTGTAACACTTTTTTCTATTTTTTTTTTACCAAAAAAAGCGGTTTTATAGATTAACTGCCTGCCTTATTCTCGAGATTTGGCCTCTTTGGATCTTATGCTTTTTTTTTAAATTAGAAGGAGCAATTTTAAACAAGTTTAAACGTATTTTCTTTGTTCATCTATCAAAGCTTAACTATCGTAGCAATCTATTCGCGACTCTCTCGGCGTACGAATAAACCGGAATACGTGTGTACGCAACAGGCGAGGTGCAGTTACGGATGCTGTTATAATACCGGAATCGCGTGTGTTGGAAAGTTCGCGCCTCGATAATGATTTACACGAAAGTTTCGCGCGTTATCGCGAAATTATTTGAGCCGGCGCGTAATTATTTCCGATGGTCCTGTCGCGGAGGCAGGATTCTTCGACGGAGCCAAAGTGTCCAGACTCGCTAATTAGCCAGATACGTCAACTCGTTATGTTGTTTAATGTAATCTGTGTTCCCCCGAAACTCGGGACAAACTGGTGGGCCGTGAGTGGCTCCTGTTGCAAGAGCTAGAAATGCTTTACACCGCTGCCGCAAGAATGTGACCCGCGGGAAACGCTGTAAAGGGAATTAATTCTCGTCCACTGACTAATTAAGACGAATAATCGCGGGTAATACGCATTACGCGAACAATTCAGTTTTGCTAATCAACGAGACAAGTGCCTGTATCAAGGAGTATGTATGTTCGGGCGTAACTGACATGTGTACGTATGTATACTGGCCATCGTCCGTTTAGTTAGTTATTTTCGTACCAGACACCACGCCTAGTGTAATCTTTTCGGTCGAAAATAAGTCGAAGCGCCTGGTTCGCGACACGGTAGAAGCGCGCCTAGTTAATTTGGTGATTACTGCTACGTCGGGACTTAGGCATAATTAACGCAATACTCGTCTGAGAGACAGACCGAACGTAACAGAATCTGTCATAGCCTGTCATCCTGCTGTTTCGTACGTATAATTATTCACTGGTACGTCTCCGAGATAGAGAACTGTAGATTACATGCCGTCTATCAGTTCCTTTTGATGTTGTCATAGGCGTCATGGGCGCGTTTCCACCGAACCAGATGCACCGTTCCTCTGCATTAATTACGACCAACCTCGTGTCGTCTGCGGCTTAATGAATCTCATTATCTCCTCTTTCCTAAACCTATTTCTCTTATGGATCGGCTCTTACGCGGTGCATTGATTTTCACTAATTGAAATTCTATCATCGAGCTTCTTTGATCATTTTCAACGAAAAATATGGACAATTTAAACAATGTGGGCCGAAAAATATGAAATAAACAAAAGTAATAATTTTTCTTAGATGAAAAATTTCGAGAAATATCGAGAAATATAAGTTTTTCAGAAATGAGAAATAGTCAATTACAACATCTTTCGAGAAATTCTCGAGAAGAAAGAGTATCCGCCGTATCTTTTCGATGCAAATGCGTGCACTTAGTTTATGGAATAGTACCAGTATGGCGCAACGATGGTTCCAATCATCGAAGCGCAATCGTTCTGGCATTCCCGGCTGGCAATCACAGCGTGTCTGCCAGCATTCCGTACAGCTGTCATGCATGATTCGCCATTGTTACGTACGATTATTCGCGAAGACGCATCCAGAGTGTAGGAACAGCAAAACCGTATCCCGTCTGTTAGGTATGTCTGACCTGTCTCAGTTGGCGGACCGCGGAGCGAGATTGCCAGCCGTACCAGTCTCTTCCTCCTTGCCATCTAGCCGCTACAACGTCGGAAACACCGTGTTTCCCATGGAAATGTCACTATCTGCGGGATATCTAAGCGACGCCACCAGAAACTTCAGCCGCGGTTTGCAACGTTTGCGCGGAAAAAACTTGCGAAACGCACAAAGAGGGAAACCGTGGCAGCGATATATAATTTCGCCAACTTTTCCGCGGCGTTTTTCGCGTTCCCGGCGCGCGGCAGACGCTTTTTCAATTTCACCAAGGAAACCTGGAAAAGCAACCAACCGTGCACCGCGCACCGAGGACAAATAAATAGCTATTTTTCAAGGATCCGTTATCTTGCGTTCACGCTTCCGCTTAAGAAACGCGAGTACTTGTATCGTCGTCGACTAAAAATTGGATACCTTCGAGTTGGATCAATTCTGTCATCGAACGACTCGTAGATCGTTTACGTTATCCGCGTTGAAAACTGAAACTCGTTCCGTCCGTCGGTTTCCTAACCTTTTTATTCGTCTTTCCGAAGCGAGTACACACACACACAGTTTCCCTATTTTATGTCCTGTTTCACTGTAACGATCGATATGGAATCGTCCTATCGGTACCCGCATAACCAGGGCTCGCGCATTTGCAAGGTAAATAGCGGCGTGCGTTTACGGTGCGTTTGCGTGGCTGCGAGACGAACCGAGGGAATCTTTGCTTTGCAGATTTCGAATTCGAGCTGCGAACCATCGAATCACGAGGTCAAGTCGTAAAGAATCAACCGTGGCCGTTCGCAGTCTCGTCTCGCTTCGGCTGTTACCTTGCATCGGATCGAACGTAGGGATTCTTTCGTGTTATCGGACCGTTCCACTCACGAGTTTGCTACAGCGAACCGTTTCCTTCGTCGTCCGTTTCTTACATTATTTGCATTCCCAATCGCCCACGAGCGTATCTTGGATACCAACGTACAACAGAAACTGTTCTTTCACGAGAAATTTCCTTTCTCGCAAAGGTGGTTTCATCGTTACGCGATAGGTTTATTGGGAATGAACATTGTTGAGGGAGGGGGTAGTTTTGAGACGGTAAATAGGTTTTACGGACACACCTTGTCAGCGTAGAATTAACCTAAACCAGTGATCCTTTTCTGCGCAGGTGTACGAGATGTTCGTTGCCGGTTACCAATTTAAGGTCCTCTCGCCGGTGTTCACCGGACACTGGGGTCTCCAAACCAGAAAGACCAGGCCGGCGTGGCGCGAACGACAGAACAGTGCCAACAGAAAGCATTTCGAGACGTTCAAGAAGGAAGTTTTCGCTCGCTACAAGCGCGATCCCCTGAAAATGATAAAGAACGTAAAGTGACGAAAGCTTCGTCGGAGATTCCGTTGACCGAACGCGAGATCCTATTCGCCGTCCTTTATATTCGTCGCGACGCGATCGTCGCATTCATTTACGAACAAGTCGTATAGATTTTAATGTTTTACCCGACACGGTGCCGTGATATCTGAGTTATACACAGTCGAGTACGTTCCGACACCGAACATCGGAATTTCTTTTTTCACGAAACTTCCACGGAATGAGCTCTGTATACGGGACAGACGTCCATTGGTCGATCGGACGACGCGCAGCTGTGCAGCAGCGAATTGTTTGACACGAATATTTTCTACGAAACAAGTAACGAAACGCAGCCTTTCGTCGTCGGAAACTAATAGATTGATCGAGACCGATTAAGAGTTTGTTTGATCGCTGTTTGACTGTGATGATTGATTTCTGTCGGGAGTGGATAGCACATAACTGGGAAACGTATTTTTATTCTTCTACCATTCGGTGTAGATGAAATTCCAGTGGGTTGGCTGAAACTTGAACGAAATTTGGGCTGTTTTATTATTTAAAATTTGCAAGTTGCACTGCACGAAATGGTCAGGTAGGTAATTCTTGAAGAAACGTAAGGTGGAATTTTTTGCGGTTTCTTAGTATCATTTTTCCTATTCTGAGTTTATCGTATGTTGCACGGTTGGGCAATTCATCCCGCAAACACGGTAGAAAAGCACTCGTTTACTTAAATTATTTACAATATATATATAGTTTATAAATTGATTTAAAAAACGAAAAAATTGCAACCGATCCGCGTAGCTCGAAATTCTAGTACATGCATTCTTCGTTATTTCACACGGTGAACAACGATATTCGGTTTGCACCATGCATAGAGGACATTGAAGTTGCTGACCACGTGCTTTCATCCCCAGATAGCATTTTTCACAGCAGCTGCTACTCGTAGATAGGAAAAGTAACATTGTTTACTCGGTATTGCGCGCGTTGGATGGATATATTTGACCTACGCCATGCGGAAACTATCCAAGTCGCAGTCCAAAAAATTTTGTTCGTTCCTCGCCGGTATCCTTCTCCGGCTACACTTGTAATTTCCGTCCCCGTTCAATCGGCGACATATCATATCTAGATAGACAGTTACAAAGTTCACTGTGCCCTTTTTTACTATCTTGGAGGAGAAGGAGTCGGTACGAAAGTGTGACGTAGGCCTCGGACAGTCAAATTTTCTGCGGCGCTCGACGTTCAGCGTTCGAATCGACGTTGTCTCGTCCCGGGATGGCAACTGTTTAAAGTGTAAATCGCGTAAGTGAAAAATCATGGTCATCGACGTTGGGAGTGCCAGAAGGGAGGTCTTGTAAAAAGAAAGAAAAGGGTAAAGTTCGCGCGAAGAGGCGCAAGGGTCGGGGGCAATCAAGTAGCCGCGATCAGCGTCGATGGGTGGCGCGCTTCTCGAGACTTCCGGTTCGTCGATTCGAGCGAGCCAAGGCAGCCTCGCTTGCTGCTTCCACTCACGAATTCCCAAAGTCATCAGAGACTGGCATGCGGGATCGCGGAATAAATATCCGCCTGTGAGGTTCGCGGCACGTACACGGTGCACGAGCAAGAAAACGAGGCCGGGGAACTTGAGCGAGCGTACCTCGTTAGCTGTCTGTGATTTAAGAGGGCGGCGTCTAAGTTTAAGATCGATTCGATCGCTTCACCGAGCGTCGCGGCGTTTTTCGAAACGTGCGTCGGAACGATCCTGCGAGAGGACTGGCTGGTTTTCCAGTCAGGGGGGAGGGGAATACCGTCGGAAGAAAGAAACGCGAGTGGCTTGTAATTACTTAACGCGATCGATGAAACACGAGGGCTACCCGGATAAGTGCGTGAGATCCAAGCCAGAGGCGTGCACGGATTTTCCTACCGCTAGGTTATTTTCGCTGTGGAATTTATGATTCTTTATAGAGCTTCGCTGTCGAACCTATTTTATACTATTTTCCCTTGGAATCAAACTGGACCTGTCCATAATTAGTAGTTTTGTCGTAATCAAGTTGGCGAACGGTATCTACAGTGATTATACCACGATGTAATGATCGGAACGTTGATAATATGGGATAAATACGTGTTGAAACTGGAGCAAGCTGTAATTCTTTAGGCTAAAAGGTGGATAACTTGTTACAGGGAATTATTTGTTACATAAACGCATAATATTAAGGTAAAAAAATAAAAGCAATATACCTATAACATATCTGCAGTATTCTGTCCAATTTTATAATATATTTTACAAGAATATTTCACGCTTCAACTTTATCGTTATTACTAAAATCTATTATACAGGGTGTTCGGCGAATAAAATTTTTACGTGCAGATCGAGTTGTTCTTAAATAATCGTTTCTATTTATCGTAGCTTTAAAGGTGTATATGTATTCAGATTTACGAGAAGAATCGATATGCGTTAAAAAAATGCATGGTTCCGTTTCAACAACAAGTTGCAGGCGCATGTTGCTGCAGGCGTAGAAAAATACTCCCCATTGGGGATTTCGCTTTTTCCTGTATCAGTTTTTTCTGCCTATGTTTCGAAGTGAACTACAGGTTGCCCCGGCTTTCAGAGTTATCCCGGGGAATGGAATTCAGATGCAACGATCAACGTTTTTTCGGATAGATTATTTCATAATTGGCCAAGATATACCAGACCTGGACATTATTTAAATAAATTGTTCGAAAATAATTGCTCAAATAATATTTCGTACGTTGTTACACCGTGGGTACCGAATCGAGTATAAACTGTGACCATTTGGAAGGATCTTTGAACGTTTTGTCAGTGTTGTACCGATGGGAGCTCAATAAATCTGTTCTGGGTGGAATGTGGTCTCAAGCACGCAATTATATAGGCCTAGACATACTTATCAGTCGTTGGCCTAGATTTAACTTTGAATTTTTCCTAATATTACATATTACCAAGTCAGGTGTAAAGAAATTAATAACTTCAACGAGATTTACCTTGGTTCGTGATAACATTCAGGGGAGATCTCTTGAGCTCCGTGTAATAGCTATAGTCGGATCAAAGTCAATCGACTGTTGAATGGCACTTACTTCACTGTAAATTACGCTAGACACGACATTTGCACGAAGGTATGAGAGATTGATTGTTGGGGATATTCGAACATGTTGGGTATAGTTGAACGATATGATGGCTATAACCATCGAGTAGTGGCCTTAAGCGGTCAATTGAATCTGTCCCGATTATAGTTTCATCACGGATCGACGACGTATTAACAATTGTGCGATCAAATTATTTCGAATCCCGTTAGATGATCGGTAAATGTGCATCTCTGGTCGAAAATAATACGAGCAAATTAAAGTGCAATATAGATTACGTTGATAATCCAAACCTTACCGTGGACATTTTACACTTGTTTCCCCAATGATTCGACGTAATCGGATTATCCATTATATACGGTTGCTCCAAGTGGAAAAAAAGAAAGAGGAACCCCGAAACGACGGAACATTTTGCTTTTGTTCGTTTTTAAAGTTACACCCCCTTCACCCCTCACTCTACTGTCCCGTGATATAACAGCAATAACACTTGCTCAACGATTCGTCGCTGGTAACCGTTGTACGTGTAATTGGAACATTTTAAGGCACAGAGTAATTATATATTATAATGTTTTTACGGATATGTATAAACGGCCAAAGATAATTGTAAGACGAGAGAATTATTGTTAAGACACAATAAATCAATACGCAATATGGACGGAACGTTCCTCATTTTTCGACCGGTCCTCGAACAAGTTTGGAGCAATTTTGAAGGAAAATTGCAACATTTAGACTTGCTTGGGTCGCGATTTCACTGCACGCTACGTTACATGGCAAAGTTTGACACCGTTAGTAAACCAGCGTCAAAAAAAGTTTATATAAATATTATTTTCTTTTTTTATTTTACAACTGACGAGATTACATACTCGTTTTAGACGGCTCGTTGCTGTACCGAGCGGAGCATGCTAAATTATAAATTTGCATTAACTTCCATTTACATTTTGGATGAAAAATTTGCGCTAAAAAATGTTTGAAAAGTAAATTTTAGTATATTTAGTATGCATGTTGTGATTATGTAAGTACCAGGGCGGTCACCGTAACGTAAAGTACAGACCGAAGGTTGCGCGTCGACGCAGATTAATATCATTAGCGGCGTTACTAGTGGAAGTTTAACTAATCGTTCTGTTCGTTCGACGATGGTTACGTTTTCCTGAATATCGGCGGTCGGTGACGGTAATTCAAAAGCACGTGTTCGCCTACACTTTGCGGCTGGACAACTCGTTTCGGAATGGTTTAATTTCCTCGGCTACACGGAGCTGCTAGCTATCTAGCCAGTTTCCAGTCGGTTTGCTCGGGCTTGAGAGGAAAAAGGAAAATGGACCGAGTCGGGACACGAGCGAATGGAAAAAGGGAGACGGAGGCCGGCGGTTGAAGAGGATATGCTGAATAGCCAGCGTGCGTGCGTAACTGGCACGTACATACACAGTCTTTTTCATTACGTTATAGTTATTTTTTACCTCCGTCCACTTACTTCGGTAGAAAGTTCTTACAATAATTACAGGGGGTTTTAAAAAAAGATTTTATACCGTTGCAATTTTGGTTAAAAAAGATATAATTTATTCTTGTTAACGAAACTAAGAATTGTACGGTCACTTAACAACATAAGAAATCAAATTCGAATAACTGGAATAACAGTGTATATTTTGGCAAGATCTCCACGTTGATCTGTAGATCAACTGGACGGTTCTGAAGCTTCGACGACGGTTATTAGAGAAATGAAATCGTGCACGCTATGCTCGATAGATCCGTTGTTTCTATGATTTTCGAACGCTTTGTACAATTTGAAGTTGCTTTGGCGCGTTCAGCGAAGTTCGTCAGCCGTAACGAATTTCCGCGTTTCCGCGTTTCCGCGTTTCCTTGATTCCGATTTGCACTCGCGTCGTTCGGGGATTCGTCCCCATCGAGGTCTGTCTCTTGGAGAACCCGAAGGCGCGACAGAACCTGGAGAAGTGGCTGTCGCGGTGTTCGGCGTCGTCTAACACGGAGGAGAGCAGACTAATTCTGTCTAATCTCGAATAATCTGGATTAATCTGGTGCAATCCAACGACAGCTTCCTCGGCGCCGGCATCGGCGCCAGAATTGGTTCGTTTTCAATTAGAGGGAGCATTTCGCTGATGGCGCCTGCATTCGTTCGGCTGTTCGCCCGAAACTCGTTCGGAGACCTCGAAACTTGGCGAATTCGCGGCGGATCTGCCGACGGAACGAATCGCGCGGATAATCCGTGGGGCCTCGTTCCCGCGATAAATCGCGCCCCATTACAACTTTCGCGAAACCGTGACCACGCGAGGGATCACCCTAAGCGAATCAGTTAACGCCCATCGTCTAATCGTCACGCGGTTATTCCACTCCCCAAAGTAGATGTCGATTTTGTTTATGTTCGATCTCTAAACTCGGTAAATCTGAAACTATAATTAGTGAAGGGAACAGTGCATGCACCATTGTCAAGAAGACTTTTGTATCACATAAGAAAGACATGTGACGAGATGAGAACTTGGCTGGAGAGTCGAATTATTTATAACATAATCAGCTTCCTAGGTTTACAGGAAGGAGATTATACAATAGCTGATCAGACCCTCTTGGCAACTTTTTGTCCGTGCACATACATCGACGTTCGTAAATATTAAAACACTAGTGGTCGAAACGTCGTTAATCTTTCCATACAGTAAAATACTTACGTGTTACGCGATACGAATAGAATCGGGTCGCATTTACCATCCTAATTAAATGAAATTAGTCGTCCGAATTTTTTACGACCCTCTCTTACGATTTGCTACATGCGCATTAAATAATTCGCTGCATCGTTGGAACAGATTTTTTGCTTGTTTGAGATCCGATCAGTTACGAACTGATGGGGTTAAATTGACGTTAATGTGCCTTAATCAAGGGTAGTTGTGGATGATAACTAGAGGACTTTCTGTCTTCGATGTTAGCGACATATAGTTGCATCACGTACTTCTTTGGGGGAAATCACCGTGGACGGATACGTTTTAAATATTTATTCGAGGAAATTCTGTTATAGGTAGTGAGTAAATTATACGTTGATAGTATGATTAAAAGATTTACTTTTATCGTTATGGATTTTGAAAGCCACCAGCGGCGCGGAGATGTTTACTCTCAGAGACCATTTGACTGATTTGTGCATGACAATGAACGACGGTGGCCATTATGAGACACCATCTTCGGGGAGTAAACGTTGCCAAGAGTACAGCAATTGACCGTGTAATCGCAGCCTTCAATCTTATCGCAGTACACCTTTAACATCAATCTGGAAAGTGCTCTTTTGAACCGCACAATAATAGGCTTTGTTCGTACGGCGGAATCAACGGCGACGGGGACCGGCATTCAGCCGCTTGTACTTTTAAGAATATCGTGTCCCGATTTCCAGAATTTTTCTACCGTTCAAAGAGCGAGGCACGCTCTCGGTCGTTGGAATCGTTGTCGATCGATTCGTCGCTGAGAACGACCCGCTTTCAAACGGAGCGTCGGTGTTCCGTCTCGACGGGAATTCCGCCGAGCGTCAGACAGAGGCGTTCACTTATCCCGCGCAAGTGTTTCTATTTACTCGTCGAACGGAACCGATCGATTTATTTATTCGTTAATTTAATCTACCGATGCTATTCGCGTCAATTCGAGCCGATATCGAGCTTCGAATAACTTTTTAATCAAATATCCGATTCGTATGAAACGTTCATCGACGCTGCTCGAAGAATTTATCGTGCAAGAAAAAATGTATTCGATATCGTTTTAAAGATATTTATATCGACGAGAAGAAAATAGCGTAGGATATTCCCTCGGTGTCAAAAGTAACGTGGTATAATGATTAATAATAAGTCAGGATCACGGTGACGGATAAAACTCGAGCACGTGGCGCAGTTCGCGTAACAAAACCGATTGGTTCCTCTGTGACGAGCATCGCCGTTTCAATCTATTCGGGCCAGAGTTTCCGCAAGACTTGGCGAGGGCCGTGTGAAATTCGCTGAAAAGTCGATTCGATGGAAGAAAAACATGATCCGCGTGCGCAAACAATTCTGTCAACGAATTTCATTTCGCCGCGATGTAAATTTGTACCCGTTCGGCTGAGCGGAGGAAAAGAGGATCCAATTAAAACGGGATACTGTTGCCAGGGACGCGCGTTACGTTCTCCAAAGGGCTGGGAAATACGAACGCCGATTTGCTATATACGTGTCTACGTTTCCGGGCTATTCGTTGGTCAAGATTTGTCTTTTTATTCGTTTCACTATTTTAAATCACATTCCAGAGTATCTACCTACCTCAATGTTAATCGTGACACCTTTTCATAATATATTTTTTCAATAGGTAGTCAATACCGTCCTATTCTACGATATGTACATATATTTGAAAATGTACAAAGAGAAATGGAAACGAAAATCTACGTTAAATATTGAAATATATCTCCTGCTGGCCATGCATCGCGTTATACAAGGCTTGCTGAATTCCAAAAGAGTAATTTCTGTATACAATTATAATGAAATAAAGAACAACCGGATATTAAATTTAATTGTAAATTAATCTCGATTATTGTATATTATTCTGTTTCAGGAGAATGGTTGTAAAAATCAAAACTTCCGGCCACTGTTAACGAACCAACCAAGTTCGAAGGAGCGAGAATTTTCGAGTTCCTTTCGCGGGACAATGTCACTTGGCTGAATAAGATCTTCCGTCATCGACGCCGAGCATCGTTTATAGGGGCTTCGAAGGCTTCCGTCGAGATGTACGAAGATCCCGGAACGGTCGTTACGAATAATGCTTTCATAACGTCGTCCGTCGTTCCGGGATTTGAATCGTTAAGCCCCTCCCCCGGCCGGAGAACTCGTTCAGGATGAAGAATATTTAGAGTCTCGGGAACAGTGCTCTTAGTTTGGTTGTCTGGCCAGGTATTCGTTCCACAGTGTTTCGAACGATCGCGACGAATCCTGGGAACGACTCGGTTGTCACCGCGATAACATCGTCCAAGGGATCCTCGAGACTTTGCACAGGGACCTGTCGCGCGACTTGCCAACTTTCTGGCTTCATCTCGAGCGGTAACTTCGAATTAAGGTTCTAATCCTAGTTTCGCGTACCGTGGCGGAAGTACGCCTTGTCGCGTGATCGGGAAACGAAAGTCCATTACGCGGAAACTTTCTCGAACACGCGGGAAAAGCGATATTAAACGATCCACGGAGGAGCGGGTACCTTTAGTCTCTGATTATTTATGGTTGTTCCGGTGTACAATGGAAGGGGCCTCGGATCGCGGTTTGCGTCAAACGCCAATTTATATCGCGAGATTAACTTTAATGTACTCTGGCGAGCTACGACAGGACCCGATCGATAAATATTATTTTATAATTAGTAAATGGTATCCGATGCACTAGCTTTTCTGTACCTTTCGATCGATTCGTTAATGCATTGCCAGTGTCGATTATCGTGTTTTCCAGTTAGCGAAGATATGATGATGAAACAACGATGATTCATCGTTTGCAAGGGGTTCCATAGTGCTTCTGTCGCAGTAGTTTATAATTGAAAGAGTTCTCGACTAGCGTTCAGCCAACGTCAGTATTTGTCTGCCATCCGATTCTAATTTTATCGCGGTAGGTTGCTCTCTTCTTTCGATCACACGTTCCCGTCCCTTGTAACCCGCGATTTC